AGCTCAAGTCAGTCAAGACAGTACAGGTTTTACCAAGTGGTGCATGAATTCTGCAGTTTCAGATGTTTAGTTCAAGCCCCAGTTCTAGGAATGAATGACTCCAATCTCCCCCTCTCCAGTTCCAGCTACTGCAGAAAAACACTTGAACAGGGGAATGTGAAAGCCTTAATGAGAAAAAAAGGGATGGCAGAAGCACTCAAGACCTCCTTCTCCAAATTGCCTGGTCCTTCAGCTGTCTTTTCTGCGTGCTGGGTCTGACAATGGTGGAGCACCAGGAGGTGGGACATGGCCTCCTCCGCCTGCGTGACCATCTCTCCAGCTGTCAGGCTTTCATTTCTACCCACACATCTATTAACCCACAAGCCTACTTGATTGACTGCTCTTCGACCTGAAGAGCTGCCCACATGCTAACCGATGCTGGTCTGGTACCCGTGCCTGTAGGAGAGGAAACAGCTGGTGTCAGATCCTTCCCAAGTTTTGCAGGATACTCCAAAATACCAGCATGTCTTTAAATTAAAGTCGTTTGGGTTTTAGTTGTTAAAAAAAAAGTGAAAATTTCTTCTGACAAAATACCAAAGGTCAAGATGTCTCTGCTGGTGATGGAAAGTTGGGCATGCCTCATATCGTAACAGCTTGCACAGCCTTCTCCAAATCCAACCCTGACTAGAACCATCTGGTGTTTCTGCAGCTGTCTCCCAGGTAAAAAAGTAAACAGCGATGAAATGTAATCATCAAAGTAAGGTGGGATGAAGTTTTCATATCTGATCACTAAGGCTGGGCTCTGTTTTCCTTATTCTTCTTGCTGGCGAGGTCCTGCCACCGACATGGTAGATGGCCATGGCTCCCTGTGAGTGGCAGTAGCAGGGCAGGGGGAGCAATGGGCAACAAGGGAGGACAACTGGAGGACAACTGTGGATCAGTCCATGTCTGTTTTATTTTGTATCATACCACAAGGATTCAGGTCTGGCCAACATTGCGTTAAGTGTCGAAACCATCTCAGGTGCAATGGGCCAAGCAGCAAATGTGAGATGGGTAGCCACAAACTCCCTGTCTTCTGCTCCCACTGCCCCTCTCAATGAGGACAGACATCTGTAGAAGGCAGGCCATATGCTCGTGCTGTGGCAATGGGAAGAGAAGCACGTTTGGTGGCAGCAATTCTGGGAGAAAAATGTAGATATGACCTTGAAAGTCTGCCTCGTGACACAGCCTTCCTTCCTCGAATAGAGGAAACAGGGGAGATGTTTGTGGATTAGAAGAAGTGCCTGGCTGGCCATTATTATCAGGCCTGACACATGAGAGATGCAACACATTTTAAAAAACCAATAACTTAGAAGAACAAAAATAATGTTTTGTGAAGGCTGAAGAAAACATAATAGCTTGGCCTAAGGGACTTTTTTTTTTTTTTTTTTTTTTTTTTGAAGGATATGGATGCTCGCAGACAGAAAATAAACATCCACACATCTTAAAAATCTGCCCCTAAGTGATGTAGTCATCTACGGATGCCATGATAAAAAATTCAGAAAAAAATCTGTGAATGCATGGACTAACCAAAGAAAGTAGCAACAAAGCAATCGCCTCTGTTTATCTAGTAAAAAACCTGCCCCCCCCCCGGCATCCTTTTTGGAAACATGCCCACTGTTCGTAGGATCTACCAGGGCAGACCTCCCTCCTGACCCTCTGCCAAGTTTCCAGTCCCTGTGATGTTTGATTTTTCTAGAGCACAGCTCCTGTCGTCGTGTACACACGCAGGGGACCTTTCTGCCCAGCCCTTGCTCATCTTCTCCCTTAGATTCTCCTGTGCACTGTTACAGATAGCAGTGGAGAGCATTTTTTCCTTGTGTAGGAAAGACTGTGATGAGTCTGAAGAGCAACTAAGCTGGCATTCATGCCCAGAAAAAAGAAGCACAGCAATTATTCGCGTTGTTATTTTATAGAGAGAATATTAAAACCCAAAATTTGATTTATTAGCAGTGCGAGAAGCGTACAGTCTAACAGAAGTCAAGTTTGATTTTTTTTTTAAGTACTGTGTTCTGCATCAGTAGCAAGTAGATAAAACCTTTCGGCAACTTGTTTCATTCATTGCAAAAGATCGTTTGGTGCTACTGCTTCCCCTATATTGGGTAAAAGCTTTTATAAAACATTCATAAACTTCCTTAGATATTACTGAATGGTAATGAATGTCTAAACAAACTTGCAGATGTTTTGTAGCCTTTTTTTTGTACTGTGCATGTATTTCTTTACTCCAGCCTAGACCTTTAAGCCTGCAGAATCATTCTTTTTTGTATTTGGCATCCCAAGAAGACCAGGTGATAAACTTCTTCAAAAGTCAAGGCTGGAACCAGGTGCCAGCAACGTGCACAGAGGACAAAATAGGCCCCCAGCTGCCGTGGGCTGCATTAAGCAGAGCAGAGCCAGCGGGTCCAGGGAGGTGACCCTACCCCTCTGCTGGAGGTGGTGAAGAGTTTCAGGAGAGCTGCCTGGCAGAAAAGGACCTGGGGGTGTTGGTGGCCTGTGGGCTGAACAGGAGCCAGCAGTGTGCCCAGGTGGCCAAGAAGGCCACCAGCATCCTGGCCTGTGTCAGGAACAGCGTGGGGAGTAGGAGGCGGGAGGTGATGGTGCCTCTGGACTGGGCCCTGGTGAGGCCTCACCTCGAGGGCTGTGTTCAGTTTTGGGCCCCTCACTACAGGAAAGACATTGAAGTGCTGGAGCGTGTCCAGAGGAGAGCCACCAAGCTGGGGAGGGGTCTGGAGAACAAGTCCTATGAGGAGAGGCTGAGGGAACTGGGCATGTTTAGTTTGGAGAAGAGGAGGCTGAGGGGAGACCTCATTGCCCTCTACAACTACCTGAAAAGAGGTTGTAGAGAGGCAGGTGTTGGCCTCTTCTCCCAAAGGACGAACAACAAGACCAGAGGAAATGGTCTGAAGTTGGGGCAGGGGAGGTTTAGATGAGATCTGAGGAAGAATGACTTTACTGAGAGAGTGGTCAGGCCCTGGAACAGCCTGCCCAGGGAGGGGGTGGAGTCACCATCCCTGGAGGGATTTAAGAAACGTATAGACATGGCTCTTCAGGGCATGCTCTAGTGCTCCAGGTTATTGGTTTATGGTGAGGTGTTGAGTGTGGGGTTTAGTTGGTGGGTGCGGTGTTTTTGGTGGGCGTTTGGTGTGGTGGGTTTTGTTGGGTTTTTTTTGTGGTTGGACTCGATGATCTCAGAGGTCCCTTCCAACCACTAAGATTCTGTGATTCTGTGAAGTTGGGTCCACAGAGCAGGGACTTCCAGTCCAGCAAAGGGCCACAATGATGATTGAGGGACTGAAGCATCAATGTGTGGGGAGATGCTGACAGAGCTGGGACTTTCCAGCCTAGACCAAGGCATCTTACTGATGTGTCTAAGTACCTGATGGGCAGAAATAAAGAAGATGGAGCCCTTCTTGGAGGCATAAAGTGACAGGACAAGAGGCACAAATTGAAATACAAGAAATTACACTCAAACATAAGAAAAAGCTCTTTTTTATTTTTTTTTTTCCTGTGAGGATGGCCAAGCAGTGGTACAGGGGACACCTGCCATGGGCTCTTCTTGCCCTTGGGCTGGAGTAGGTGGTTTCCAGAGCTCCCTGCCAACCTCGGGTATTTTGCATTTCAGTGGGGTCTTTGATGGAGCAACTGGGGAGCCTGATGAATGGTTGTGGGGGCACTGGTCCTGCACGTTGAGCAGCCTGGAGTGAGAGCAAACTGTCTGCCTGCTGCTGACGCAGAACCGAGCAGCTATTAAATGGTGGCTTATGCTCACTAATGACACCAAATGGATTTTTAACATGTAAACGAGAAGGGGAAAGTGGGGTAACTTGTTATGAGCTATGGGTTTGCCTGAAGCAGATTTCACATGTTAAAGCACTTAAAGCAAATATAGAATTTATGATGCGTCGGTAGATTTTAAATCTGAATAACATCCAGTTGTTGTAATGGCTAATAATGCAAATTATCTGAGTCAGCCTCAGCGTAAAGTGGTAAATATATCCTGCCCATTCAGACACAATTCTTCCCCCTCCCCCGCCTTCCCCATTAATATTTTATCCCCAATAAAGAGATGTTTTCAACATATTATGTGCACCAGCATACTGTGCTTGTGGTGTTCCTAGATGTCATTACAAAGAAACCAGAGGACTGTGCTGCTGCTCTGCTGCCTGTGCCACTAGCTTGGAAATTGCTTGGGGCAACAACAGCAAGTGTCAACAGGGAGCAGTATTAATTATTTGGAATGTGTCTCATAAGAGGAATCAACTGCTTTTATTGCGGCGCAAATATTACTTGAAACGGGAAGGTTACTCTGACTGTTATCGTAATCTATGTATCATTAACTTTCCATGTTTAGAAAAAGGGATTAACAACCCTGTAAATTGTTACAGTAAATAGATTAATTATAACAACATGTTTTTATTATAAATAGAAGTTTCTCGATATAGTTACCTCCAAATTACCGGAGAAGAGTTGGGTCTTTAGCAACTGGGAAACTGCACGGTGGTGCTGGGAACCAAAAAAAAGCTGCCACCCAGGTGAAAGCGATGCTGAACTCTGCAAACTATCTGTGTGTTCTGCAGTTGTACTTCATACCACTCTTCCTTCCAAAATTGCAGTGACACAGAAAGGCTTGCTTCCCTCTTAGACTGAGATCAACAGATTGAACGGGCTTGTGTGAAATCCCTTGTCTTCTGTGGCGTATGGCCTTCTAAGAGAACATTGTGCAAAATGTGTGTGGTAGTGGTGAAGGAGGTGTAGCTAAAGCTCAGCATAGTGCCCAGGTCTGCACGGAAAAAGGAAAGAAATGGGAGTGTTTTCAGCTTTTCATCGGGTGTCTCCACAAAATGAAAGCTCATTGTGAAAAACGCACAATAGTACGTAATACTGTTGGGAATCCAGTGCCATAAAAGCGCTGTGTGTTTAAATTATAGCCCTGATAGATATCTGAAGGAAACGGTGGAACTCAAACACTTATTTTTCCACAGGGCAAGCTCACCACGGGCAGGTTTCCTACATTGCCCCACCGATCCACCTGGACTCAGATCTGGAGAGACCGCCGTCCAAGGGTGAGTCAGTGACGCCATCTCCATGCCCGTGCGTTGCCAACCAGCCCCGGCAGTGGGTGCAAGTCATCCCTTTGTTCATAGAGCCTCCAGGGTACAGTCACTACCCTGAACCACCACAGTCACTACCCTCCATCCGAGGAAACTCTTGGGAGCCAATTCATAGAGCCTCCAGGGTACAGTCACTACCCTCCATCCAAGGAGACTCTTGGGAGCAAATGAATTCCTGAGAGAGAGCTGCATGAGAGATAACCATGCCCCATGTGCCCAATTATATAACTTTGAGCGTATCACCTTGTTCACAAGCTATTTTGCTCTTCTTTAGAAGTGTTTACTTCTGTAGGGACAGGTAATACCTTGTGTCCTGCCCTCTCCCTTCCTCCCTTCCTTCCTAATGGCAGCGGCACAGGCATAGGGAGCTTGTGGCAGGATGCAAAAAAGCCTGATTTCACCTGCCCCTCAGGTCAGTTGAGGTCCAGAAGTGGTCATGCAGTGGTTCAGGCCTGGATTCAATCCATGTTGGCATTGCTCAAGGTTTGTTCTAGAGCTGGTGAGGAGACATGTTCGCTCTAGAGGAGTTCGCTCTTGCAGGAGACAAAAAAAGCCTGATTTCACCTGCCCCTCAGGTCAGTTGAGGTCCAGAAGTGGTCATGCAGTGGTTCAGGCCTGGATTCAATCCATGTTGGCATTGCTCAAGGTTTGTTCTAGAGCTGTTGAGGAGACATGTTCGCTCTAGAGGAGTTCTGCAATTTTAGGTGGACTGATTGCCCCCAGGAGCAATGCTAGTAGCTGATACGAATGGAGTGAGTCCAGAGTAGCCCTCCTAAGAGAGGTGCCTCTCTTGAATGATGCAAGTAAAGTCATATGAACGTGAGCCCTTGATTTCTCTGCCCCATTTGGAAGATCATCCCCTGGCTGTGTTGCGATGAACCCCTAGCGTTTGCCCCTGTGGCCTCAGGAAAGGGGCTTGGTGCAGACTTCTTACACCTCCCTTTGCTCCTTTTAATTAGGTTGTCAATATTCAGGTGGGATATCAAAATGACCACCTTGCCCTTCTCGGAATGGATAATAGCAAAGCTAAAATCAAACAGGTATATGGTGGAATTTCTTGGTCAGCTCCAGAAATAGGTATGAACATCAAACACAGGCAACATTGCAGAAGAAGAGAAGGGGAGGAAGAGGAGAGCCAAAGTGTCTTAGCAGGGAGATGCACTATAGCTTAAGTTTGGGGTTTTTCCTTCCTCCTACTCTCCAAAGGGTGCTACAGCGGCTGAAAGGGGTAGGGGGTTGACCTCTGTGATGGTTGTCACCATCCTGCCGCGACACTGTAAGGCTGTGAGTGTGAGTTTGTGGGCACACGTTTTTCTCTTGGTGCTCAGGATCGAAAAATACAATGTGTTAATGCAAGATTGATGTGGATAGGCACGCTGTCAGTATGTAATATGAAGAAAGCTGTCTTCTGTATCTTACTTGCTTATCCATCTTTAATGTTCTGGGAGACAAAAAACCCCTTTGTGTTGGTGAATTTCTGCTGCCGATGCAAAACCTGCTCCTCCAAATGGCCCAAGGACTTTGTGGGCTAAAGTCTTTGCTGGTGAGGGGTTTAGAGAACAAGTCCTACGAGGAGAGGCTGAGGGAACTGGGCATGTTTAGTTTGGAGAAGAGGAGGCTGAGGGGAGACCTCATTGCCCTCTACAACTCCCTAAGAGGAGGCTGTAGAGAGGTGGGGGTTGGCCTCTTCTGCCAAGGGAATAATGCCAGGAGCAGAGGAGATGGTCTGAAGTTGGGGCAGGGGAGGTTTAGATGAGATGTGAGGAAGAATGACTTTGCTGAGAGGGTGGTCAGGCCCTGGAAGGGCCTGCCCAGGGAGGTGGTGGAGTCACCATCCCTGGAGGGATTGAAGAACCGTGTAGAGGTGGCACTTCAGGGCATGCTCTAGTGCCAGAGATCGTTGGGTGTGGTGATTGTTGTGGTGATGGGGTGTTGGTTTTTTTTGTTTGGTGTTGTGGGGGGTTTTTTTGGTTTGGTTTGGTTTGGTTTTTTTAATAGTTGGACTCAATGATCTCAAAGGTCCCTTCCAACCACGAAGATTCTGTGATTCTGTGAAAGCATACTGCTAATGTTCTTGGTGTAAAAGGCTCCCTTAATTTTGAGTGAGCCAGCATCCACGTGGGTAGATCTTTGACATGATCATTTGCTGTTTTTTTTTCCCTTTGTAAGTGTGAGGGTGGGTTTTCTTGGTTGATGCAGTAACAAAAGCTCAGGGATGGACTCCTGCTGCACAGAAGATGCCTCAGCGCTGTCATTCCTTGGTGGTTCCTCTTGCATCTCTGCAAGGGTGAACCTCGTGTTGGGTGGTGGAACTTGGGTGTGAGGCTGTTGGATTCACAGTCCTCTTTCCAAATCTGGTCTTGTCATGAGACTGGTTGCATACAGTCTCTTGCAGTCCACAACCTCCATTCAGCTTTAAGTGAACCACCCTGAGATTTTACACATGTATTTGAGATTGTCAGCTTCTTCTAGGTCACTTGAAAACCCCTAGTTCTGCAATGAAATTTACTACCTTGATTTTTTAGCAGAGCACTCCAGTAAGGCAGACATAGATGTGACTTCCAGGACCTTCTTGCTCGAGTCTGTCTTTGATGTTGGCTGTGATGAATCAGAGCTGACTTGGAATAGGTCAATGTAAATCCTTGCCGTGGGGTCTGGAGCAACCTGTGGAAGACTCAAGGATGCTGGAACAGCAGCAGCAGCAGCCAAAGAAGCTGTGCCTTGCTTTCTCCGAGATAAAAGAACTAAAGACTAACAAAAACCTTCAGTGATCTGCCATTCATGAGGGCACAGCTGCCTCTGCAAGATGAATGGCACTGCCACCAGGAGCAGGGCAAAGTGGGTCAGGCAGAACAGCAGCAGCGCTTGCAGAGAAGGTAAAATGGAGTTTCTCCAACATAAACTGCTGCCTTAACTGCTTCCACCAGGAAGCCACCAGGCAGGAGGGCCTCCACACCCCACACCCCCCCCCAGGTTGAGAGATCTTACAGAAAGAGCTGCTCAGTGTGGAAGGACTGATGTTACTGCTACTACGTGCTGGTAAAAGGACTTGAATCCCCTTGTGTGACTTAACGGGAGAGGGACAGGGAGGCATCCAGCTCTGAAGGCATCAGTCTATTACCTGGTGACTGGGGGGTGATAAAAACATAGTAATTGTCTCCTGGGGGAAGAGCAAGGCTTTCCTCTAGCCCTGGGATGTGTAGTTCTGCTTGTGCATCTGCTGCTTCTTTTCCAGCCACAGCACCCCAAATCCCAAAATCCATTCGAGTGTTTTAATAATCATTATTTATTTATTTTTAGCTGTATGAGGCTTATTAATTTTTTTTTTTGTTTGGCTGCATTTTCTGACACCTTAGGACATGCTCAGGTCACCTTCTAAGCTTCATCCCAGAAGTACAAGAGCCGTTTTAAACAAAGGAGGCAAAATCCCCTCTGTCCTGAAGCTGTCATTCGTCCTCCGCATTCCCAAAAGTTCAATGTTGCCCTCAGAGTGGCAAAAAGAAGAAGCCACCGTACAATTTTCATAGTAGAAAATGGAAATAAAGCCAGAGTAGGGATATAAAAGCATCTTTCCTTCCCCTGTTATTAAAAAACGATACAGCTTTAGTGCTCCTGTGGGTCTGTGCAGTTGCAATTCTCAGCTGGCAGATTTATTTGTAACGGCCTCTTCCTTCTCCTTTTTAAAAATTTTATCACTGGTGACATTTACACACATTGTTTATGCATGCAGGGCATTTTTACCTGCCTTTCAGAGTCCTGCCTGGTGCTGGTAGTGAATAGACTATGAACTCCAGTAGTTTACTAGTACATTAATGTCACCGTGCGTTACAGGGTAATTACTCTGCTCCGCGCAGCGCCGCCGTAACGACACCGCAAATCACTTTGTAGAAATGAGGTCCTGAATCAGCATTTTGCATCACGGTGCTTCATAATCCCTACCCCTTTTGTTAATTTGGTGGTGTTTCAAAATGAGTTCCACATACGAAGCACTGTTAACCCTGATTTTCACACCTTCTCTCAGTCTAACAATCCGGCCGTGATTACCTGATTTTTACACAACTGTTTACACCATCCATACGCAGAATAATTCCAGGGGTAGCTGAGACCTCAGGCTGTGATCCCATAGGCTGAAGATTAAACCCGTGTTTAAAAATGGATCGCTGGTTACTGACAATAGCAGATGGGGGTGATGCTGATACTCTCTCTTAGACAGGGATTTTGTGGAATTATCATATATAGCAATAAATTAAATTTAGCATTTGGACTTAAATTCTGCCAAGTACTAAAACGTAGCAAATAAGTGAATTAAACTCACCGAGTCCACACCCTAAAACTATTTATAAAGCTTTATAAAAGCAGATTTGAGCATATATGGGGAATCATATTAAACACAAAATACATGCTAGGCAGTCTGAGGAGCTCTTCTCCCCTCTTGAGCTAGCATTTCGCAAAGATTTCCTGCAAAATTGAAGCTCAGGGAGTAGTTGTCTTGGAGACTGATAAGCTTGAAGTCAGAACATTTCCAAACCATTAATTGATAAGCAAAACTGTGTATTGGTCCCTGGTTCTAGAAATAAATAGCAAATAAATGAGGAGTGGAAGACTCTCACCCTTCTGCGCAGATTTCTCTAGCCAGCGAGGATGTTTTGGTCCCAGTTAAAGCCCTGTGGGTGGTTTTTATTCTCCTGTCAGCCTCAACTGTGAGGTTCAGCTTCTGGAGACACAGAATCTCCCCTGTTCTTTGGGCAGCGTGTCAAGGGAGTCAGCCAGAGGTTTTTCTTGGTTTCCCCCATTTCTTCTCCAGCTCAGCAGAGCCTCTCTTTGTGCTCCCTTCCTTCAAGAGGTGGCTTCATTCTGCCATTTTCCTCCCCCTTTCCGTCTGCAGTGTCTGAGGGAAAGCCATTGCGGGATGTCGGCAGCACTGTGAAATCTTATTGCCCAAAATAGAGCAG